TATCCCAATGGAGATGGCTTCTTCCAACAAGACAATGCGCCATGCCACAGTGCTCGTATTGTGCAGGAGTGGTTTCAAGAACATGAGGGAGACTTTACCTTGCTTAGGTGGCCCCCACAATCACCAGATCTCAATCCAATTGAGCATTTGTGGGACAAAGTTAAAAGAGCCATCAAATCTCACAGAGCTGGACAGTGCTATTCATCAGGCATAGTGTCAGATTCCTCGCATCACCTTTCAACATCTTGTGGAGTCAATGCCAAGAAGAATCGCCACAGTATTGAAGGCAAAAGGTGGCCCAACGAAGTACTGATGGGGTGGTCATAATAACCTGGCCACTCACGTTCAAATGTATCCCATGTTCAAAGGCTGCTAAATCACGTTGTTTACCCATATCTTCAGAAAAAAATCACTTCTACAGTCGTGGTAAACAACCTGCTTCCCTATTTATAATGGTCTGGCCCTCTAGCAACTTCAGCGTGAAATTATAGCTAATTTGCCTATAAACGTCAGGTGGTCATAATAATCTGGCCACTCAGTGTGTGTGAGTGTGTGTGTGTGTGTGTGTGTGTGTGTGTGTATATACAGTTTTGTTGTTGTTAATCCTCACCTGAGTATAGTTTTCCATTTATTTTTTATTTTTTAGAGAGAGTGGAAGAGAGAGGGAAAGACAGAGAGAAACATTGATGTGAGAGAAACACATCTATTGTTTGCCTCCTGCATGGGCCCTGACCAGGGCCTGGGCCGGGGAGGAGCCTGCAACCAAGGTATGTGCCCTTGACCGGAATCGAACCTGGGACCCTTTGGTCTGCAGGCTGACACTCTATCCACTGAGCCAAACCAGCTAGGGCTCACTTTCCCTATTGATTATTGTTTCTTTTGAATCCCTTCATCTTCATATAGAAAGCCACCAATGGGCTCTCCCTCTTGAGGACACACCTTCATCTTTCTTTTCCCATCTTTACCTTGCCTTTCTCTCTCCTAAGCTCCAGAGGCCCTTCTTTTGCTTATGTAACTTATATCCTGAGCCTATGCAGCCCAGTTAGTTCACTTCTACTACCTAACTTCATAAACAAATTTTTCTTATAAAAAAGAAATAAAGGAAGCAGCCACCGATTAGGGTTTCTGACCTCCATGCTTTGGGCCCTAACCAAATCCTAAAGGAGGGTTTTTTCTACGCCTAAGTCCTAATTACAAATGGGAGCTGCCATAAGAGATGTTGATTCAGGCTTTCCTGAAACTTTGTTCATCACTAAGTTTAATGTCATAGAATCAGAAAGGACTTCAGATAGGGCCCCTAGATAATACTAATATTGTGAATAATGGGTCATCGAGCCTAGGCAGTGTGATGCTGACATCAGGAAATTCTAACAAGTTGGAGAAGAAAGAAGCTGACTCATCCTACTAAATGTACAAATCAATAGAATTAGACAGTGGTTACAATATAAAGATAATTTTATTGCCAATAAAAGCCTTTAATAACTAATTTATCCTGTTTCAGTAGGACCTTATTCTTTCTGATGAAAATCCAGTCATAGCATCTCTCATTAAAAATAAAATTATTTTGAAATAAATAAATATATAAAATAAATAGCATATACATTTCATAAATAGTTTGTCCTTATGCACAGTATCCATGCTTACATTTTAATAGCATTATTTTGCAATCTTCCCCATCTCCCACTTCCAATGGCAAGAAAACTGCATGTCAGGACAGATGAGAAATCTGCAGAGCCAAATCAAGGATGGCTTGCAGCAGGGCTGTAGCCCTGAGGATTTTTCTGAATGAGACTTTTCTAAAGTCTGTAGGTAGCATCTATGGCAGATCTTTTGGTCTTTCATTTACCCATTGTCAAGGTATTTGGGTAGATTGTGGAGAGATATACCCTTGGCCCTTGGCAGGGGCCCCCAGTCTTTTTCGTACCATCTCAGGGGAAAGTACATGAGTAAAGAAAAAAGTATATACAAGATTCCCTTTAGCCCACCCTTCCCCCCACATCCCTCCCCAAAATAACCCAACTTTGATATACATTTTAAACAACAAGGGTACAGTTGGGTTGACTTGAACAGTAAGTGTTTCTTTGCTATCTAAATTGATAGGAAAGATTGAAAAGCTATGAGTATAGTGCTTGCAGAGACAACTGTGGCCCCAAAGTATATGGGTTACAGAGGTCACACTAGGTTCCGTTACCTATAGTGGAAGAGGTCTCTGGACATGGACGGTAACTTAGAAGGATCTACAGGCCTGGGTAAAAAGTGAGTGAATTTCTGGTGTCGTTTAGTCCTGTATCCCTCCCGGGGTGAGCCGTCTTTATTCAGGGCCACATAATACTGTCTCTCCGAGTCCAAGTGTTTGTACAAGGTGGAGGCATAGGTGTTGTACCAGTTTTCTTCAAACTGTTCCCGGAAAACACATTCGTGCGTGAGTTTCTTCTGTGAGGGTGAGAAAATAAAGCAGAGCCCATTATATGACTATTTTCCCCATCCCAGCTTGCTGGTGGAGAACCCTGAAATAGCAATAGCACATTGATATTAGAAAATTTCAGTCCTATCTCCCATATTACTGAGGTGTCTTCTTTCCAAATAGCAAAATAGTCCTATTTGTGTCACCTTCATTTTCTTTCATGAGCTACACAAAAATGTTTTAGGTAAGATCTTTCCTGAAGGTAGGAGACTGGAGGAGAGAGCCTCACCTGGCTCTTTGAGCTGAAATTTTTTTAAAAATTATTTTTATTGAATTTATTGGGATGACATTGGCTAATAAAATTATATAGGTCTCAAGGGCACAATTCTACAATAGAGCCTGAGATTTTTCTGAGCCTGAGAATGGCTGCTATGGCTGCCCAATGCCCCACTGGCATCCCTGAGTTTTCTCCCTACTTAGGGCTAATGTTAAAATACATTGAGATTACAGTCAACCATGTCAACTGATAGGCAAAGGCCTTGGATCTATATTAAGTTCCACAGGAGGTGAGCTGTGATCTCTCCTGATGAAGGGCCCAAGGCCTGTCAGTTGGAAAGCTTACAAAAAATCTCCTTGAAAAGTTCCTCCAATCTGGCTACATTAAGCTAGCAGCTCCTGGGTCTCTTGCCTCTGTCCCTTCTCACATTTGATCCATAGTACTTGCTGGGGTTGCCGATACTGAGTGCTGGGGACAGGCCTATCGCTTAGGTGTCAGGGAAAAATGTGCTCTGATTTCAAGGGGTGCAGGCAGCCAGAAAACATTCTATGTGACTCAAAAGCCAAAGCCACGAGTTGGGATTCCCTGAAAGGGTTAAGGTCAGCAAAGTCACTCACCATTCCCCAGCTCTTGGCTAGCTTCCAGAATAGAGAACATGCACTGCAGCCAACCCAGTCCTAGCTGGAGACTTAGGGCTGTCACCAGACCCTGGAACCCTCACTCTTCATTTATTTGTTTCATTTGGCCTTTGGGATTCAGCTGAAGCAATCTGGAAATCAGGGACTGTGTTGTTAATCTCAGAATTCTCAATCTGAAGGCCAGATTTTCCACTGCCTATTTTTGTGCCAGCCAGTCTGTTACCCCTCTGGGCACCCATTAAAATTCATATGTATGCCTCAGGACAGCAAATGCCCCAAACCCATACCATCCACTAACAAACTAGCACAGCTTACTATTATCATCAGACTAGTTGGCCCTCTAATGGAAAAGGCAAAAGCAAGTATGCCACAGTAAAGTTTATGTTTTCATGGGGGCTGAATGAGTGAAAGTGTTATGGAGCAAGTTCCTGGGCAACCACACATGACTAGAAAACACTAGTCTTTTATAGTTCACAAAAGGGATTTCAAGTGCTAGATAAAAGTCTTTATGTACTTTTGCCTTACATTGTCCAAATACTGGTGGTAATAGCCTCTGATGAAAAGAAAATCTTAAACTTACCGATCCATATAGCTCTCCTCGTTCGTTCATTCCTAAGTATAGGCCAGAGTCCACTCCCCGAATGCTGATCAGCCCCACAGCCAGGCTGATAAACTCCAGGATGCCTAGAGCAAAAAAGGTGAATGCCATTTCCATTACTGACATCAAGCTAAGAGGAAGCTGTTCAGGTAACATGAGCTACCAGTCATTTATCCGCAACTGGAGGCCAGCCCTGGGTGCCTTTCATGAAGGACCTGATAAAACCATCTTTTGCAGCAAGAATGGAACTACAGAGAAGACACTGAGTCTCTGTGGACCTCAAGTTTTCCATATGTAAAATGGGGGAAACAATCTCTGCCTCTAGTCAACACTCTTTATATATATATAAAATTGATTTTTTACAGAGAGGAAGGGAGAGAGATAGAGAGAAACATCAATGAGATAGAAACATCGATCAGCTGCCTCCTGCACACTCCCTACTGGGGATGTGCCCGCAACCAAGGAACATGCTCTTGACCGCAATCGAACCCGGGACCCTTCAGTCCGTAGGCCGACGCTCTATCCACTGAGCCAAACCGGTTACGGCTCTAGTCAACACTCTTAAGCATATTATGAGGAAGATAAAGTGAGAAGGCTTTCGTTACAAAAGCTCCTAATTATAAGGCACTATTTCTGTTAAATACCAACATTTCAAGAAATGGGATTGCAGCTTCCTAAATAGGAGAATATGGCCAGGGTTCTGTAACTTCCCAAAGTCATTTCTCTCCTCCCTAGAGCACAGAGCATTACCTTTCTGTCCTCTAGGCTGAACTTGTTTTGCACCCTCTTAGCTCCCATGTACTTAAAGCCACATGAGGCTGTCAACTGCCTGTAGCTGACTCTAACAAAGGCCACACAGGCCACTCACTAAGTTTGTTTCTCCTGCCATAGGCAGGATGCAGAACTTGGCCTGGTAAGAGCTTTCTCCTGAAAAGTGCTCTCAGCCAGTACAGTCCCAGGCTGACAAGCCTGTCATTCTCCCCTTCTCTCTTGAGAATTTCAAGTTTATTCATGGCCAAGAGTTGGCAGGTAGTATTGGAGTTAATACTGATTTGAGATGTTGCAAATTAAAGGGAAAAGGGAAGACATTCAGAAATGTCCCTCTAGCTGACAAGGATAGAGGTGAAGACTTGAAAACGTTTTCATTTACTGAGCAGCAGTAAGAGGAAAAAAGAAATCAACCACTAAGAGGGAAAAAGGACCAAGAACTGAAACTCTGGTGACACTGAACACTTAATACTTTTATCCTAAGATAGCACATCTATCAAATGGATGCAGATACAATGGGCAGCTAGATTCCTCTGTGATATTCCTGTCTCTAACCATGCTTTTCAATGTACAGAGCAAAACTTGATACAACTGACTCACAGAGGCAACCAAAGGTATGAAATGAGCTCATATCTGGCTGTCTTTCTTATTAAAAAATGCAATTTTAAGGGTAATAATATTCTATGTAATCTACATAGAAAGTGAGACTAATTCCTCAAAGATCACTTAAAAATGTAAGTGGTTAATTTTGAAATCATGTGCAAAACTCCAGTGGGAAGTCTGAAGAGCCCCAGTGACTTGGGCTGGTAGGTGGTGTTCAAGTGTGGCAGCTTTAGGGCACATGTTTCCATGGCCCATTTGAAGAATGTAAAGTTCTTTGGCTGCCATTGTATAAAAATTCTCCAAGTTTTATTCTCAGTCTGGTTGTTACTAACTCTTATAGTACAAAGAAAGGAGTTTTGGGAAAAGAGATTGATACAAGATGGTAGGAGGTGAAAGAGAAAATACCTGGTGCCAAGTAATGGTTAAGCAGATACTGATTTTATATACCAAAACCTTTAGTTGTACTGTACAACATTCTGATTTTGGTTCTTCCCTGTTTAACATTTTAATAAATGACTGCAAGAGGACATAGAGGGACTGCTTACCCTATTTCCAGAAGACATACAGCTGAGAGGGTGACACAAACAAAATCCAAAGAGATTTCAAGAGAATGGAAAATTGGACTGACACCAACAAAATAAGCTTTAATTGGAATAAAATGTAAAATCCTGCACTTTGGTCCCCAAACTAACTACCGAAGATGTTTTCTGTGTTTGGGGTTTTGTTGAGGGAGGGTGAGCCTCAAGTGCAGACAATTGTGTAAATCATACTCCTTTTTTTGTTCTATTATCATAATTGGCCTGTGCAAGGGCGTTTTAGTTATCTATTTCTTTCTTTTTATTTCCATACTCTGCTCCCATCCTCCTCCCCATTTTAGGCAACCATGTATATTTTCTTGAAAACATACTGTTCTTTTGTGTTTTCATGCATTTTTATCAAATGCAAGTCTGCCCATTTCTGGAATGGGGAGATGTGGCTTAGCAAAACATACACAACAATGGCTTAGGGGATTTGATTGAATAAGGTAAGCTCAGTCTGGGTGATACATGAGATTATTAAAAAGCTAATGTGAAACTAGTTATGTAAAAATTAAAAATTATTAAAAAGCTAATGTAAAACATAGGGGGGAAAAGGGAAAATAAAGCTAATGTGATTTAAGGCTGCACTGATAGAGGTCTAGTAACTGGCTTAAGGGAGAGGACTGCCCCATTCTGCTTTGTTTTTAGTTCTACTGTGTTTAAAGAGGGCTACAGAAACACAGGAGTGTATTCAAAGGAGAACAGCCAGTGTGGCAAGGAAATGAGAAACCAGGTCATGATTCAGTTCTGGATGCTAAACTTTGAGGGATACCAACCTGTTGGAGCCTTCAGTTCTTTGCTTTGCTTAGGCAGATTACTTATGAGCTTCAAGTCTTAGTTCCCTCATTCTCTAAGTATCTCATGTCTCTAACCACCCCGAGCTCATTAAGTAGCAGAGGTCAGCTTGTGATCTCACCATCCAAGACCTGGTGTGAGAACAAATCATGAAACCCAAGAGGTGTGGCCATTTGAGTCACCACAGTTTTTCTCCAATTCTCTGTTAACATGATGCCAAAGGACAGATCATACAGGAAGTCACTTGGGTTGTGTCCAGTAACAGGGGTCTCCAACAGCTGGAATCGTCCCTGCCCAGCTGTCTTTGGGCATCATTTCCCTCTGCCAACTTTCCTATTAGCTGGATTTAAACTGTGGGAACCCAGTAGCACATGATGATGGAACAGATATTCCTAAACCTTCTCTGAATCCCAGCCAGCATGAAGGGAGAGAGAAAACAAGCCATTTTTACATTTTCCCAGCTACAGCTGGAGAGGGGTGTTAACAGTAAAGTGTTGAGGCAAAGTATTAAGTAGACAAAGTTTTTCCTCGCTACTCTCACCCCCTTTAAAGCTCAGGACCTCCCTCTGCTCTGCCTCATCTTGACCCGTCCACCTCAAGCTCTGGCCTTTGCTTGACAATTTCTGGACTCTTGTCTTCTTACACCTTTCCCCCCATGGCCTCATTCAAAATGGATCATCCTGGGTCCCACCGCTTCAGAACTTAGCTAGATGACTGGCTAAGGTGCCATTTAATCTGGTTCCATAACTTGCCTGAGCTCCCTCAGCCATCCTTTCAGACCTTCATGGCCAAGACAGTGCTGCCTTGGCATCCTGCCAAATAAGAACCAGATCACTCAAAACCCAAAGCAGCTGCAGGAGCCTGCTCCATCCCACGTGGTGGGAGGCCTCTCCTCCAGCCTGGCTCCCAAACCCTACTATGCCAATCCACAGGTGTCCCTTAAGAATGTCAGTATCTCTGTGAACCTCATGTTAATGCCACCAGCCAGGCAGAGGTTGTAATACTTCTGGCTACTGATGGCAGAATAGGGGGTGGTGAGGGGGGAGGATAGGCTGTGCCAACAGGTTATTATATGGAGTCGGGGCTGCTCTTGGGCTCAGCCTGACTTGTTCTGAACACATGGATTCCAGGGTAATCCTTGGGGGCCCTGCTCTCCAATTACAACAAATAGCTATTTACTTTACATGGCCTTTGGAGACTACCTCCTCCTCCCAAGCAGAAATCTATAATATTTTATATCTTAAGTCTGGCCTACTTTACCCTGCTGGAATGTTGACTGCTAAAGCACTTATGGAATGTTAAAGTTTCGATTTATTGAATACCCTGGCTGATTAACTCAAATGTGAAGGGAGGAGTTAGCAAACTCAAACGCCACCTCTTTCTTTGCCAAAAGCTAAACTGAGAAAGAGTATATGTGTTAGAAAGTTGGCAGGGGAGGTTACAAAGAGACAGCTTTGACCAGTTATCATTTCATTTACAGGAAATACACAAAACTGCCAGGAAGCCAGGGAAGGAGGAAAGGGAAAAGGTGATGCAGAGGTGGTCTCAGGCAGTGTTTTTTTAAAGACAAAACAGAAAATGAAGCAGTCAGTTAAGCAGCAGTGAAAACATCCCTTCTTCCTGCCAGTTTTATTTCCTTTGGTTTCTCCTTAAACTTAACACCCCTAGCAGGCCTGAGAGATGAAAAGAAATCAAGATGTGTCGTTAGGGATGTAATTAAAGACCACTTATCCCAAGAGCCTATTATTGATTTATGTTGACCTTGTAGGTTATTGGGCTCAGCTTAGGCACAGAATCAGACAAACACTTGTAGCTGCTGGGAGCCAAGCTCATAGTTTCTCCACCTCTGCTACCCCCAACCAACATTTCTCTATTATTTCATGATTTTTCTCTTATATTTCAGGAATGAGCTACTCCAATATTTCTCGGCCATTTTGGGAGTCTTTGGGGGGCTCTGAGGCCAGGGCGGGAGTCCCATTACTTCTGAAGAGAAACAAAAGGGGACTGCAAAGTCATAAGCAATGGAAGGAAAAGGAGCCAAGTTGGCACTCCTTCTCCCTCCACCCCACCTTATCACCCATTTGAGGACATGCTGCAAGTTTATACAGACACCTGCACCCCTCCATTACCCCCACCCCACACACAACCTACTGCACTCCGGCTCTGTGAGTGCATTTTTCCAAGATGACATAGACCTCATTAGGGTTCCTGCTTGCTCCCAGCAAGGAAGACCAGCCCTGGCCCTAAGTTATTTGCTAGACTTGGCCTCTGTGCACCCCCCGCCCCCAACACACACTTTTTACTGTGCATGCCAGCAGCAGCTCCAGCAAGGAATGGAGAGTAGGAGGATGAGGAGGCTTAGGAGGAGTGAAGGAGGGTGGG